GGGCAAGCCATTTCCACCCAGAGACTCTCCAAGTGGGTCTCAGGGTTCATTACGTGCTGCTATCAATTATCGGGACGATCCCCGCCTGAAGGGATTCAGGCCTATTCCATGAGAGTGCAAGCATTAACTATAGCTGTACTCCACAAAGTGCCCTTCACAGACATATGCAAGGCATCCACGTGGAGTTTGGTATGCACCTTTTCCACACACTATACTGTAATGTATGATTCGTTCAGAGGAGAAGTCCTCCATTCCACAGTCTCCTTGCACAATCGTCCCACATAGGCATTGCTTGTTAATCACCCTCTCTGGAATTCAATAGGGACCATCACTCAAAGAAGAAAATGAAGTTCTTACCTGTAACTGAAGATGTGTGGTCCCGATCTGTATTCCAAACTCTCACTCCTTCCCCTCTGCTCCGGATTCAACAGCTCTGCAGTAGAGAAGGACCTGGACATGCCAGCGGCCCACTGCATCCTTTATTGCCTCAGGGGAGACCACAAGGTGGCACAGGGCACATGCGCAGACCACCGAACAGTACTGCTTTCAAAAGCTTCGGCTCTGGGCACGTGGTGCATGCACATAACCCTCAGTGGAATACAGATAGGGTCCATGCATTTCGAAGAATCTCCCGTTACAGGTAAGTAACCTCATTTTACTTTTGGCATGCCAGTCTTGCAAACAAAATTGACACAGTTCATAGTAAAATACTAAAAGGATACCATGGTGTGTGTCATGACCTGCCCCTTCCTGGGGCCAGGCCTTGTTCAACACCAGTGGCTCTAGGACACTAACCCTCAGCTTACTCTCAGGATGCTTGCCTGTGAATATTAGGCGATCCTGGCTGCTTCTCCTAACTCTACTTCCAGGGCCATGTAGATTTCTTCAAAACTACTATGTCTCTGACTTCTGGGTTTGAAAAACCACTGAACTTTTATTTAACCTGATTAAACATAAAAGAAACATACCAATATCTTTCAGTAACGTTTTTGTTTCTTACTCCCAGAGGGAAAACCTAATCTTATAAGAGCCCTGCGGTTCTTCCCTTCCTGATTGCTGCCTATTTGTCTGATCTCCTCTCTGATCCTGTTCCCTCTCCTCATGAGCCAACCAAAGACTTCAAATTCAAAGCCCCCAAAGTATCAAATGAGCAGTTTGGATGAAGCTTCCATCCAAGAGTCCATGTCTCTGTGCACTCAGTAGCATATGTTTTTGCCTTCATCCAGCAAAATAACCCATCATATAGTTTCGCTTAACAGCATGGAACCAGCTTTCTATCTCCTGGGAGTGTCCCAAAGTGAAAGGTCTGATGTTAGAAAATTGATGCAAGAGTTATTTCAGGGATATAGCCCCATATCCTCTTATTACAGTGTTACTGGAATTTAACACAGATTTACTGAAATAAAGCATTTCTAGACACCTGCTTAGATCCTTGTGACTGCAGTTAATAAATGTATTTCAGCCATATGGTTGCAAATACGCACATCCACTTTGCAAATATTTGATAAGAACAAAAGAACTGAGAAATGGAACAATTGATTGTCTAAATAGATTAATTTGAACTACAGCCCTGATTCAGGAAGGTTTTTAAGCACAAGTAATCCTGTTCATTTCATTGGGACTACTTACATTCTCAAAGCTAGGCACATGGCTAAATACCTTCCTGAATGTTTGATGAAAAGTGCATCAAATGGGTTAAACTGAGTCATTTGTTAAAAATGATGTAACTTACTTTTTTTTTTTAAGTACTTAATGCAGCTCACAATCTACACAGCCTTAGCTCTGCAGTGTTCCCTTACAATATATATTCAACACCCTCTCCTACAGCTTATGTAAGAAAATAATTTGTCCCAGCAACAATTCTATTTATCCTTGATTAAAAAATATTAGCTGAGGCTGAGAAGGAGAACTGGCCTGTTAAATTTCTCTTCTGGTTTTACTCAAGATTGTCTCAAACTGCACGTTGGGAAGAGTGCATACAAGTAACTTAGATTCAGAAAAAATAAATCACTAGACTTCTGGAAATATTACAAACATGAGCAATGTGCAGCCTGAGTTTATAAGAAATAAATATTGCCAAACTAACTTAGTTTATTTGTATATAATTACAGAATAAATGGATAAGAAGGGAAAGTGGTAGATATGTGAATTTTAATAAAGCATTTTATGTAGTCTCATTGAATCCAAAATCAAATTTTAGTTCTGCCTATCTTGGATAGGAATATAAGCGTATGGATTAGAGCTGGTCTGAAACTTTCCAGTGAGCAGTTTTCTGTCAGAAAGGTTTGATTTGATGGAATTGAAACATTCTGTGGGAACATGCCAAATCATTCAAAAATTTTAATGGAAACCAGCCAGGTTTCCCCCAGCCAACTGGCTCCCAGTCCTGTTCCCCCCACCTCCCTTTCCTCAGTGGCTCCCAGTCCCAGCCTCCCCTACCTCCTCACCCAACTCTCCCAGTATCCTTGCCAGACCAGACCCAGTCTCCCTCCTCCAAATCCCAGTCACAGTTTCTTTCCCTCCCTCCATCCCCCCAGTCCTACTAAACTTGTCCCAATCTACCCCTTCCCTCGTCCCCTCTGCACTTAAGTCAGCTGGCTTCCTCCTCCACGCTGTCTAGGTGCCACCAGGGGATCATTGAGAGCACAGGATAGACAGGCACAAACTCCCTGTTCCCAGACCAGAACAGCTATTATGGGTAAAGCCTTCTGAACCCCCTGGGCTGGAGCATGCTCATTTGCTCTGTGGGGATGGTGCATGCACAATCTGGTCAGCATGAGAAGCTGGAAGGGGATGGAGCATGCTCAGTGAGGATAGAATTTTTGGAGATTTTAGGTATTAAGCTCTAGTAAATCTTTAGTGAGCCTGTGCGAACTGTGATTTTTTTCAAAGGCTTATAACTTGGCCAAATTTGGGTGAGTTTTCACAGGGATGGCAAAAGGCACAGCCCTGACATAAAGGCCACCCCCTGCCAAATTTCAAGTCCCTGGTCCAATGCTAGAGCATTTCAAAGAAAAAGTCTCAATTTTTTAAAACATGGGCATAATGTATTTTTCCCTAGCTGCCCTCTTGGAAATGGTTAACCCATTTTGGTTGAAATTTTCCAATCAAAATCAGCATGAGGCAGATACCTAGCAAGGAAAATTTCAACCCAAATAGTTAAAGTTTAGCAGTGTTATAAGCACTTGAACTCAGGGTCTTATAATGGGAAGTGTTGGACAACCTTAATAATAGGCTGTGCTACCAGTCCCACCTGTAACAATTTGGCTAAGTAACAAGTACATGGGGGCGGAGGGGCGGGAGAACATAATTCTACAAATAATTGAAGGGTGGGGTGTAAACACTATAGAGGCGGAGGTTGGAGAAATGGTGTATTTTGGAATAATGGAGTGGATTTATGGAAGGGAAGGTCTAGGCTGTATAGCGAGAGAAACTTTGACACACATTTGTCTGTAAAATAGTTTCTACAAAAGAAGTACTGGAAGCCCCATTTCTTTGAACTTTTAAAAATAGACTAGATAAAATGTACTGTAAGGAGCAATTGTACATTGACAGGGAGAGGGACCATGACCAAAAAGGTCACTTCCATTTCTTTCTTCTAGGAGAGCATACACGTAGAGTCATAGAAATGCAATAAGTAGTGTAACCTCAGTAAAGTGGCATTCACAAGGACACTTGAAAGAGGATTGTCATTGTTATCTTTAAGTAGGAGACACAGGCTTCTATCTACATTTAGAATTTTTAAATGTTAGCTGCTCAACTGAGCCGTGATCAAAAGTCCTTTAAAGTCTATGGAAAGACTTCTATTGACTTCAGTGGGCTTTCGATCGGGCCCCTGATAAGCTGTAAATAATTACATTTCATGTGGTCTGACTGGCTTTTTGGTTAGTTAAGGCTGAGGAGTTTCCTAGCATGGAATGGGCTCATTACAGAAAAAATAAAATACTAGGGATGAGCAGAAGGGAAAGTACTGGTGTATATACCAGTTCAGTAAATAGCACCAGAAGTATTGAAATGGTAGTGTTTGATATGTTTAGTCACCCTAATATATCTTACCCTTTTTTTTGATTGCTTAAGGAACACTGTCAATTAAAAATCACAGTTTGCTCTTTAAAAAAAAAGAAAAAAAAAAGCTTTAGTACTGTTACGGGAAACACCTAAGATCACTGAAGAGATTAAAGGAAAAATTATATTAGAGAACTGTATAGTTTGTGCACTTCACAATACTTTGTGTTTGGTCAGTTTTAATCTGTTTCCTTTGTATTCAACTACTCCTCTTTGCTCATGGGGGTCAAACAGCAAAAGGGGAAAGAAAAATATTCTTTACAAATAGGAAAATGTGTCTGTAGAATCACAAATATTGGCGGGGGCCTCAAGGACAGATGTGTTACCAGACACCACTATTAATTCTTTTTTTCTCTTTTTAAGTTGACTAGATTTGAAGGTGGTATTTTCCATTTAAGAGATCTGTATCTTATTTCAATATTTATCGTAATGAATTTTATAAACTTGTGGCAAGTAGTCCAGTACAAGCTAGTTCATCCAAGCCTATTGCCTGTTTATTTTTAGTTCCAAATGACACATCACTCCACTTAATTGCAGTACAAGCTTTTCAAAATTATCATATGTATAAATAGCTTTTAGTTACCTATCTCTCTGCCATCTCTGTTGCAAAATGTATAAGGATAGAAGGTCACCCAGGGTCAACTCAAGTTTTCTCTCTCAAATGTCATTAGAAATTTAGGTGGTATGCATGTCCAGCTGAGCGGGCTTTGATATGGAATTCATAATGGTGTGGTTTGTATGCAGTTTACATAATGTCCACAATGTGCAAAGTACTTTGAGAAATTATTATTTAGGATTCTATGAAGTGCTGTAAAAATGAAAATTGTGGCGCTTTTTGTATACTTTTTAGGGACTGGAACATTAGTTTGCTTCAACCATGAGAATGAATTGTAATCTCTTCCTCTAATGCTTATGGCTTATATTTGACCTTGCAGGTTCCAGCAAGATGTGGGGTGACCGTCCGGGACAGTCTAAAGAAAGCTCTGATGATGAGGGGTCTTATCCCAGAATGCTGTGCTGTTTACAGAATACAAGATGGGTATGGTTTATGTGGGTGTGGTTTTTTTACGCTATCAGGGTTCTTTCTAGGAGTATACCAGCATGGGCCAATTCCATTCAACACTGTGAAGGTAAAGATCAGTCTCACTAAATTCAGAATGAACTATTTAGTTTGTGCTAAAATGGTTGGGCCAACACAAAATATGGGGTGATAGCCACAAAACCGTGCCTAAAAGGCTATGACATATGAAAAGTTTATGGGGAAATCTCTAATAGAATGCAATAGGCTGTTATCCCTGAGGTCTGTTTTAGCTGCAAAACTATGTGAAAATATCTAGTTTTAAACTATGAAGTAGGGTTGTTTTGAATTTTTAACTTTTATTTGGTTTTACCTGAAGTGGGTTTCAAAGTAAAGATTTGTTAGACACAGGATTTACATGAATAGCTCTTAAAATCAGTTTCCATCCTTAAACTTCTAATTAAAATCCTACCATTCCCCCAAATTAGTAAACCCTCTGAAAGTCTGTTATGGGGACAAATTGGAGAGACAAAGTAGGGGAAGTAATATCTTTTATTGGACTAACTTCTGTTGGAGAGAGAGAGACAAGCTTTTGAGTTACACAGAGCTCTTCCTCAGGTCTGGGAAAGGTACTCAGGGTGTCACAGCTTAAATAAAAGGTTGAATAGATAGTTTAGCATAAGTAGTTAGCACATGTTCTAAGGGCCATTCAAGGTGAGTATGTGCTAACTACTTATGCTAAACTATCTGTTCGACCTTGTATTTAGTGACAGGTTTCAGAGTAGCAGCCCTGTTAGTCTGAATCCACAAAAAGAACAGGAGTACTTGTGGCACCTTAGAGACTAACAAATTTATTTGAGCATAAGCTTTCGTGGGCTACAGCCCACTTCTTTGGATGCATAGAATGGAACATATATTGAGGAGATATATATACACATACAGAGAGCATGAAAAGGTGGGAGTTGTCTTACCAACTCTGAGAGGCCAATTAAGTAAGAGGAAAAAAAACTTTTGAAGTGATAATCAAGATAGCCCAGTACAGACAGTTTGATAAGAAGTGTGAGAGTACTTACATGGGGAGATAGATTCAATGTTTGTAATGGCTCAGCCATTCCCAGTCTCTATTTAAGCCTAAATTGATCGTATCTAATTTGCATATCAATTCAAGCTCAGCAATTTCTCGTTGGAGTCTGTTTTTGAAGCTTTTTTGTTGCAAAATTGCCACCCGCAGGTCTGTCATAGAATGACCAGACAGGTTAAAGTGTTCTCCCACTGGTTTTTGAATGTTATGATTCCTGATGTCAGATTTGTGTCCATTAATTCTTTTGCGTAGAGACTGTCCGGTTTGGTCAGTGTACATGGCAGAGGGGCATTGCTGGCACATGATGGCATATATCACATTGGTAGATGTGCAGGTGAACGAGCCCCTGATGGCATGGCTGATGTGATTAGGTCCTATGATGATGTCGCTTGAATAGATATGTGGGCAGAGTTGGCATCGGGCTTTGTTGCAAGGATAGGTTCCTGGGTCAGTGTTTTTGTTCAGTGATGTGTGGTTGCTGGTGAGTATTTGCTTCAGGTTGGGGGGTTGTCTGTAAGCGAGGACAGGTCTGTCTCCCAAGACCTGTGAGAGTGAGGGATCATCTTTCAGGATAGGTTGTAGATCTTTGATGATGCGCTGGAGAGGTTTTAGTTGGGGGCTGAAAGTGACAGCTAGTGGTGTTCTGTTATTTTCTTTGTTGGGCTTGTCTTGTAGGAGGTGACTTCTGGGTACTCGTCTGGCTCTGTCAATCTGTTTTTTCACTTCAGCAGGTGGGTATTGTAGTTTTAAGAATGCTTGATAGAGATCTTGTAGGTGCTTGTCTCTGTCTGAGGGATTGGAGCAAATGCAGTTGTATCTTAGAGCTTGGCTGTAGACAATGGATCGTGTGGTGTGTCCTGGATAGAAGCTGGAGGCATGTAGGTAAGTATAGCGGTCAGTAGGTTTCCAGTATAGGGTGGTATTTATGTGACCATCGCTTATTAGCACAGTAGTCTCCAGGAAATGGACCGCTTGTGTGGATTGATCTAGGCTGAGGTTGATGGTGGGATGGAAATTATTGAAATCATAGTGGAATTCCTCAAGGGCTTCTTTTCCATGGGTCCAGATGATGAAGATGTCATCAATGTAGCGTAAGTAGAGATGGAGCGTTAGGGGACAAGAGCTAAGGAAGCGTTGTTCTAAGTCAGCCATGAAAATGTTGGCATACTGTGGGGCCATGCGGGTACCCATAGCAGTGCCGCTGACTTGAAGGTATATATTGTCCCCAAATGTGAAATAGCTGTGGGTGGCAATTTTGCAACAGAAAAGCTTCAAAAACAGACTCCAACGAGAAACTGCTGAGCTGGAATTGATATGCAAATTAGATACAATCAACTTAGGTTTAAACAGAGACTGGGAATGGCTGAGCCATTACAAACATTGAATCTATCTCCCCATGTAAGTATTCTCACACTTCTTATCAAACTGTCTGTATTGGGCTATCTTGATTATCACTTCAAAAGTTTTTTTTCTCTTACTTAATTGGCCTCTCAGAGTTGGTAAGACAACTCCCACCTTTCATGCTCTCTGTATGTGTATATATATCTCCTCAATATATGTTCCATTCTATGCATCCGAAGAAGTGGGCTGTAGCCCACGAAAGCTTATGCTCAAATAAATTTGTTAGTCTCTAAGGTGCCACAAGTACTCCTGTTCTTGTATTTAGTTGTGACCTATGAGTACATTTCCAAGACCTGAAGAAGAGCTCTCTGTGGCTTGAAAACTTTTCTCTCTCACCAACAGAAGTTGGTCCAACAAAAGATATTACCTCACCTCCCTTGTTTCTCTAATATCCTGGGACTGACATGGATACAACAACACTATATACAACATGGGGACAAATTGTCACACAAGCACTCTTTTTCTTTGAATGGATAGAAAAGTATCTGTCAGTTTTGGACCCAAAGGACCAGCCATTCTCTGCAGTTGTAGATCTTTGCTGAAGCTGGTTTGAAGAAAAGGGTGCATCTCTTTACCCTGCTGTTTGTCCAAGAGTGATGCAATTATTTGGGGGTAAACTGAGATTAATTTCTTGCCATTAAATTTCTAATAGTGGAAGACTGGATAGCAAACCTCCCACAATACCACTATCCTCTCGATAACAACTTTTCACTTCTTTAGCATAATGTTTGTAAAGGTTTGCAGGTTGGTAACCATAAAGGGCTTGTTTACACTTCAGAGAGAAGAAGCCCATTGGCTGGGACACTGACATTTCCTGGCTCACAGGAGAGGAGTTGCACGTGGAAGTCTTGGAGAATGTGCCGCTTACCACACACAATTTTGTACGTACTTTGTATTATGAACTGTCTAAAATGTTCACTAGAGTTGAATCTACTTTTGAACATTTTAAATCAAAATAACTTTGTTTTTGAACAAACATTTGTATCTGTAGTGGGGAAGGTTGTTGCATAAGAGGTTTTTAATCCAACCGACTCAGATGAACTAAATCTTATTGCAGTTGAGATAATTGACATTAAAATAAACACAACTTGACTTAACAAGTCATTTTAAATCACCACTGCATTGCAGAGTGGTAATAATAATCCACTATTTTTGTATGGTTGTATTTATAAAATGTGTTCTGTGCTTCCCTGCTGACTCCGCAGCAGCAATTAACTAATGAACCATATTCTGAGAGCAATGCTGACATCATCAGTGATGCCGGTGCACAAATATGTTTTGACTCGATGAGGTGCTACATGAGTGGAAACTGTTTAACAGAAGCCCTCTGGATCATTCTAGGTCCATACACAGACCTGGAAATAACATTTACCACATGGGAAAGGGCAAAATCTAAATGAAAGCTATTTTATTTTTAGGCTTAGGGTGTATTATACAAACAGTGGACCGTTAAATGAATGCATAAAAGCCATTATAAAAATTTCTGGACAGCATCCTTTAAAACTTTTGATTGTTACTTGTAGGAAATCTTGCTTGTGTTACTTTTAGGCTAGTTGTGTTTTTAAGGTGGGGAACCAAAATAGAACACAAGTTTTGTGCCTTGTAGTTTGGCTCTGTAGTGTAGCTTTTTCTTTTTTACAATTGCAAACATTTCCAGGTTTTACTAAACAAAATTATAAATAAGTTGGGTAGAATTTGATTTTTTTTTTTTTTTATAATTGTGATGGATAACATCGATGTTTATTTTTGCACAGAAAGAGGTTAAATCTGGAACATTTCTGGTAATTAAAAAGAGCTCTTTCTCTGGAACTCAGAAGTATGATGTCCCTCAGGATATTAGTACAACCAGTCAGCAGTCTGCTCTATGCCACGTAGTCCTGTTGTCCACACTGTATGATAGGTGGCAAACCTCATTCACGCTGTGGCCAGGAAATAAACCTTATGCAACATTTAAGTGTAGGCAATGGATGTTTCAACCCTTATGTTCAATTGTCCTTCCAAATTGGAATGAACAGAAGTTAGGTTTACTGAGACCTGAAATGCGGGCCAACTCTTCCATTGGACTAGAGTACTCTACTAGAGCCAAGGAAGGCTTAGTATCAGAGGGGTAACACAGCTGTATCCACAAAAACAACGAGGAGTCCGGTGGCACCTTAAAGACTAACCGATTTATTTGGGCATAAGCTTTTGTGGGTAAAAAGCCCTACTTCTTCAGATGCATGGAGTGAAAATTACAAATACAGGCATAAATATACTGGCACATGAAGAGAAGGGAGTTACCTTACAAGTGGAGATCCAGTGTTGACAAGGCCAGTTCAGTCAGGGTGGATGTGGTCCACTCCCAATAATTGATGAGGAGGTGCCAATACCAAGAGAGGGAAAATTGCTTTTGTAGTGAACCAGCCACTCCCAGTCCCTATTCAAGCCCAAATTGATTGTGTTAAGTTTGATAAAAATTTAAGTTGTAGGAAATTATGGGAGCTTTCATGAGTGGGGTCGGTCAGACAATAATTATTTAATGGTAGTAGATGTTGAGATTCAAAAAGTTAAAGCTTTGACTGTTAAAACACATTGTCAATATCACATGTCAAACTATACAAGGTAAATATCCTTAAATCAAACTCTAATAAGTTCTCAAGCAGCATTTTTCTTACTTTGCCTGTCTGTAAATTGAGATAATTATTAATGGAAATATTTTTTCATTGGTTTTATGTGTGCGGTGACATTGACATTTACTGACATTTATTGATAAAAATCTAAACCCTCCAAATCTAATTATAAACCATTTGAATGTTCCCAATCCTCTGATTTTGAGGAAGGGGGTTATCTGATAAAGATAAACAAACAAAACCCTCTAAAACAGGCCTTCTCTCAAATCCACTATTTACAAGGTGTTTTGGAACGTTCTGTTTAAATATCTTTGAGTTGTTTTCTCCTTCAACTATATATATATTTTTATATATATTTTATAATTTAAATGCCTGCAAGAGTCATATCTTTGAAATAGGGGTGCTTCTTTTACAGTTCTGACCCAGGGATACTTTTGACTTTGCTTCACAGTCCTGTGGCCATTGTCTTCACTGCTCATGGAGTGATGCACATTAATTCGGATGGTGGGAATCTTAGGGGCACTTAAAGGCTAAAGATCAAAATGTTCAAACTTGGATGTTAAAGTTAGCCACTTTAAATCCATATTTAGGCAGCTAAATAAAGCAATCTGATTACCAAAGGTGCCAAATGCTTCTGTGCTCCTACTGAAGTATGGTTATGCGCACCTCTGAAAATCTAGCTACTTCTATCTAGATGCTTAAGTATGGATTTGGGTGACAAACTAGGCACCAAATTTTGAAAACTTTGTCCTAAATTCTTCCATTTTTATTACTCAGTATACTTTGTATAGTATTTATATTAGTCTGATAAGAAGTTGAGTGGATGCCATAATGCTTTATAACTAAGATTACATCAAATGTAAGATCTTTATGTGTTTAAAATAATACTCTTTGCTTATTGTGTATAAAAGTATGTTTCCAAGATCAAAAAAGAGCGTTGTAGGTATTTTTTTCAGGGCAAGATGACAGTAATATCTTAGTGGAAACATAGAGCCCTGTCAGATTACAAAAGTATCTAACTATCTAACTCTTTGTTTTCAACACTACAGGTACGAAAGACATTCTTCACTTTAGCATTCTGTGACTTTTGTCGAAAGCTGCTTTTCCAGGGATTCCGATGCCAGACTTGTGGTTATAAATTTCACCAGCGCTGTAGTACAGAGGTGCCACTGATGTGTGTTAATTATGACCAGCTTGAGTAAGTAATCAAAACTCCTGTGTTCTTTAATTCAGAGTTTTGTTGAGTTTCTTTACATGACACAAGAACTAGTTGACAGATGTAACTGAAAAAGTCAAGAGAAGTGTCTGAGAAAATACAATAGTGAAGCTGTTTCAGTGAGAGTATGTAGTTCTTATTTTCTCAGTGCTGGTTCAGATAACCAGTTCAAGTTTTCTGTTTGTACTGTGAAACTCTTTCTTAGAAGATGAATAGGAGGGCTGAAATCTTGATTCAGCAAGACAAACTTTGCACTGGTCACATATGTTATTATCCAGTCAAAAAAAATTCCTTATGAGGGGAATGATAGTGCCTCACTTAAATGTGTTTAGATGCAGGTGGTCAGCTACAGTTAATTTGGTCTCAAATAACATTGGACTTTCTTGATCAATTAGACAAAGTTGACATTTGTTTTACTGCAGGCTTGGTTGAAAAATAAAACCCACTGGTGGTTTTTATATACCTGGATAAAAAGTATCAAGCAGAATCAAGAAAAGTGCAGAATGTTTCAATATGCATTTGTTCTTGAATTTTTATACTCAATTTGTTCTGTACCAGGACTCCTAACCAAGGTTTCTGCTCAATCTGTAGTGATCTTAGTACCTATCAGTTACAACAGGGCCAAGTAAAACCGTTTAAAAAGACTTCCCCAGTGGGGAAAGCTTCCAAATGTTTTTCAAATAAAGTTTTACTTCCAGCTTGCATTCATCACAATTCCTCTGGCCTCTTCTAGATGATGAACTAAGAGTTGTGGATGCAGTTGTTTTATCCTAGTCATAGCCCCATTTGAAAGTCCCTTTTTAATATTATACTACCACCTTCCATATAAGGTTACATCACAGTCTTCTTTATAAATTACTGTGATTTAACACGAAGGTATAAGTTGCCTGCTTTTACACTACTTAGAAACTAGGTCTTTACAATTTCTAGCACTCAAAGGTCAAAATAACTTTAGACAAAATAGTGTTCAAGGCACTAACTCTTGCTCCCTTGCAGTTAACTAACAACTTGTGAAAATGTACAGGGTAGTCTGCCAGTGCATTCTCTATTCTAAAATTTAGAATTTGATACGTGACTTTTTTTTTCTTCTGTGCATATTATGTTGTGAACCTTCTGGGTTTTGCACAAGTTAGGTTTGTTTTTGTTTTGTTTTTGTTCTTGCCTCACAGTTTGCTGTTTGTCTCCAAGTTCTTTGAACACCACCCAATATCGCAGGAGGAGGCCTCCTTAGGAGAGACCACCCAAGCATCTGGATCGTACTCCTCAGTGCCCCCATCAGATTCTATTGGGTAGGACCTTACTCCTGCTGCTTAATGACTTGACATTTTAGTACTGTTTGCCTTGATGTATTCAGAATACTGCTTCAGAGCCTCTTCGCTCACCTGCGTAATTAGGTCCCCATCCTGCTAATACTCGCACATGTGCTCAACTTTAAGTTCACCAGTAGTACCACTGATTTCAATGGGAACTAGTCACATGTTTAAAGTGAAGCATATGCATAAATGTTTGCAGGATAGGGACCTTAGTTGTACTTTTTTGCCTATAGTGGTAATGTAGGCCTGGTCTAAACTGGAAAGTTTTTTGATATATCTTTAGGTTTTTTCAGTATAAATTGCTTTGCATCCACACACAAGTTCTCTCTTTTTGCTTTATTTTGCATCTTATCCAGCTATAAATAATTTGCTTTGAAGCAACATAACTTTATTTCAGAGTGAGTTATGGAAGTGTATGGTTTGTATGGACACATCTCCATTTCAGATGAACAACACTGCTTCAGGTAGTCCTCCCACTACCATCCCTACCTGCACATTACTTCACATCTACATTGGCCTGCCTGGCTACCTGTGCTTTGGGGTCCTCTTGACTGGATGTCCCCCCTCTGTTTAAACACTGACATATATCCATATCCATCTGTTTGCGATGCCAGCTTGTGATAAATTCACACACACCAAATCCTTTCAAGCCACCGTGCTCTGTACTTCTGCATGTTCCCATCAGGGAATGCTGTACTGCCTTGCCCTGTGGAGAGAAGAATATGTTTACTCTCATCTGTCCAGTAATCACCGGAATGCCAAGATTCACCAGCAGCTAGCAGAGCAAATGCAGGAGAAGGGGTACTCCTGGGACACGAGCCAGTGCTGTGCCAAAGCAAGCAGCTGATTCAGAATTACTAAAGATGCTAAAGATAAAAACAAGACCTCCGTTAATGCTCCCATCACATATGTATGCTTTGAAGAGCTGGACTGGATTTTTGCCCAAGAGGCCACCACAGAACCCCGGTATATGTTGACAGCTGAGCCATGGTCCGTAATAAAACAGACACACCTTTGGAAACTACACAGGCAACCATGGACACCTGACCAGGAGAGATTTCCCCTGTGCAGCCAAGATCTCTTTAACAGAGACCCAGCTTGATACACCCCCAGGGACCCTGCCAGAGAGCTAGAGTGAGAATGCTGCAGAGGGATCTCATCCAGTAAGTACTGAGTGCTGTATTACTATTATCCATCCCGTTAGTGCCTGCTTAGGGGGATTTGGAAACCTTTCTTCTGGGTGCTGGCTGTGCGACGCCATGTCTAGTGGATGTTGCTATAACGATGGCAGACGTGTCCATCTCTTTGCAGCACCTTTACTCCTTGGCTTACTCAGCTTTTCTCTGGTCCCAACAGCATGGAAGCTGGAAACACAAGCTGAAAATACAAATTGTTAAAAGTAGCTTTTCTCCCCATGCAAAATATTTAATCCCACGCCCATAGACCAAAACACACCACACCACCTCTTCCCCATGCTGCTTGATGTTAAATTTCTCTATCCCTCAACCACCTCTGCCCCCACCTACTACCACCCATATGGCACTACACAACGTGGTGACTAGATAGCAGAGAGAAAAATGTAAAAACAAATTGCTTCCAATGTAGGGAAAGAAAAAGCAAGAAGTAGTAGAAAATTCATGTAAGACCATAGTTTAGTCATTGCCTTGAGCTTTTTCATATATGTGAAGGTAAACAAGATAAATTGACCACTAGAGGTTCTTTTAGGCATTTCATATTACATAGACTTGAAGGCATATGTGGTGGCAGGCATTATAAAAGGCATATAAGCTTTTCACAAAGCACTCATTTATTGCAGTACATTGCATTGGTAAAGCCAGTACAGGACATGCATCACAGCTGCAAAATTCTGTTTATTTTGTAGTGTGCTTTATGCTGATCAGATGGTTTAGAATTAGAAATAAGACTTTTAAGCAAAGATAGTGATATAGTTTGACACACACATTACAAGATATTGCTGCCTTCCCAGAGAGACTCATGTAGGTAATGCTTCACTCCCGCAACAGCTCAGTGACCAATAACAAATAACGATGCTACATATCTTCCTGGTTGTCCTTTGCTTTCTGAACATGCCTCAGAGTAATACCCACCAATGTAAGGGCAGGCTGCAGGGTTCTACAAACAATTAGCCTGTCTCATGGAAACACACATGCCTTCCATTCCCCCATCCCCAGACAAGCAAACACACATACACAAAATGTAAGGATAGTTTTAATTTAAAGGGCGCTACTACACCATATCGCAGGGAACCCCACTAGAGGGCAAATAATGTCAAAAAAGTATTATATCCAAGCGTACCCCAGGCTGGGAAGAACTCAAGGGAATGGAATTCCAAAATGGAGAAAATTTGGAGAGAAGTAACATTTTGTCATTTTTGGCATGGTGGCTATTACATTGGTATAGTAACTACGTGTATGCTTTCTCTGTTCTCCTAGTCTGTGGCATGGCACAGCCCACATCGAATGGGGTGTTACCAATAGCTGAGTTCCTGGCAATCCTCTAAGGGTAGAGAGAGAAGATAAAGAAGATGTTTGGTGACCTCATGAATGAGTCCCAGCAGAGGGCAAAAAACCCAGGGAACGGAGCGAAAGATGTGTGCTGCAGGATAGGAATGAGAGAGAGGACAACAGAGCATATGCTGAGGAGTTGTCAAGAGAGCACATGGACTGACTGACCAGAGAAAGGGACATGTTGGACATGATGCAGAAGGAGACAAGTTTGCTGAAGAACAGTGTTACGCTATATTCCTGTGTAACACTCTAACCTAATCCTGCGCTGCCGCCTATTAAGATCACAGTGTACTAGGAGCCCCCTTTCATTCCCCAACTGCAAGAGAGAGACAGTTCCCCACCCCATTCAACCCCCAAGACAAGGAGAGAACGCCAACGATCCCCACCTACACATTTTTGAGTCCCTATCTTAAGAAACATATATTCCCTCTATACCTTTTAGTGCAAATTTAAAAAGAATTTTCTTATGTGTTAAATCAATAGTTTTGTTTACCATTGCACTTGTATCAATGAAGTTTTTCAGCCAGCTCTTCCTACCAATATGCATTCCTAATAAAGTTAATTCACAAACTGTATACATTACTTTGTATTCATTTCATTCAGTACATTACGTGTATTTTCCTCACCTGCACCCTGCTCTCAAATAGCACATTGCACCTGTGACCTAGTTCCCTGGACCACAGGGACATTTGGTTGAGGTATCCTTTCCGGCTATTCATAGTGTTCCAAAAGTCTCTCTACTGTCAATTTAGCCACACCAAACTGGTTAGCTACTGACTGGTACAATTGGAGGTGGTGACCTTCCATATGGCAGTGGCCACATACTTCTCCATGTTAATGGGGGACACTCATTGTGGTGGTCCAGCATTGCAACTCCAGATTGAGTTCTACACAGATTTCTAGGAAAGTGCCCTTCTGCGTCCTGAAAGTTTGCAGCACTGTCCCAGCCCACCGGTAGGTGCTGACTGGCTGGGGCCACAAGTAATGTTGCACTGAGTAAAGCCTGTCCCAGAAAATGTTGTGCAGAAGTAGCTGCTCCTTCTCTAGTAGTATCTGCCCGGCATTGTTTGTGGTATCCATTTTATCCACATGGAGGGAGAGGGGTCAAGTCTGGCTTAAGGGGAAAGGGGGTTCTTGCCCTCAGGCAGTGGGAAGCCCTGGGCAAGTCTGCCCTGCACTCACCCCACAGCAGCAGCTCTTGCCTTACAGGGTCTGAGCTTGGCTCCCTACTCTGGGTGATGCGACCATGTGCCCTGAATGGGGAGCCAGGCCGTACCCTGTGGACAGGGGCCACCGCTACGGGCTGAGTTTTTTCATTTTCTTTTCTTTTATACATTATTTGTTTTATTTCGTGTTATTTCATATTTGTGAAAAACACAGGGCTCTAGCGATCTTCCATCTCCTTCAAAGCCACCTGCTTGATTGCCAATACATCTGGAGTGCCCTGTTTGTGTTAATTAGGGTTGCCAACTTATTTCTAAAAACTGGACCCCCTGAGGCTCTACCCCTGCCCTGCGTCTTCCCCTGAGGCCCTGCCCCCGCTCTCCCCCCTCCCTTTTCCTCATTGCTTGGTCCTCTCCACCTCCCTCTGCTCCAGGGCTGGGACGGGAGTTTCAGCCTGATGCGGAGTCTGCTACTTGCCTGCCCACGAGATGCAGGTAGGAGGTGGCCCTGGCTGGATAGGGGCTGGCAGGCAGGTTGATGACCTGGTGCCTCTGCCCAGCTCCCCGTCCACGGTAACAGGACTTTTGGAGTATGGTCAATACATTTAACGGGATGCTGCCAGGTCCCCTTTTTGACCAGAAAACCAGACACTTGGCAACCCTAATAATGGTCAGGATCAAGGTGCTCAGCATCCTGGCTGGCTGTAGTTTGAAAATTTGTTTGAAACTTTGAAAAAATGGTGCTGGCTAGTGAAAAACAGGCTAATTATGGCATACAGTGAAAGGAATCATGGGAGTTTGACCCAAGTTCCAGAATTCCAGTAGGTATCTCACAATCTACCATGACAAATAACTTATAATGCACTGAGCCTAGCGCCAGAAAATTGTACCCTGAGATACCAGCCCAGAAAACGGCGCTTATTTTGAAAAATCATAGTTCTGTGTGGATGCTGCTTCTCACAAGCGAAGTGGCCTAAGCCACTTTAGACAAAGCAATGTTGGATACACTCTTTCACTTTTATTGTATTTTTGTAACTATAGTGAGGGAAAAACTATGTCAGAAAACCTTTCCTGGGTAGACAAAGCCTTAAGCACATGAAAAGCCACGTTGGTGGGTGTAAGGAAACATAGACAATTCATCTTTGGAATTTGTAAAGGGAATAGAATTTTAAAAGACAATTATATATTTAAAAAAATGTTTCAGGCATCTAGATATTTTGAGGACATTGTGTGTGTGTGGGGGGGGGGGGAGTTGTGGTTCTGTAAGATCTATGAAATATTAATT